AATCGATTGGGTCATTTGTCTTTTCGATCCTTAAAGAGTCTGTTTCCTACTTTGTTTGAGTCTGTTGAGTTGTCTCAGTTGAAATGTGAAAGTTGTGAGTTTGCTAAACATTGTAGAAAATCTTATTCATTGAGTAATAAAAGGAGTAATAGTTCTTTTGATATTGTGCATACTGATGTTTTGTGGCCATATCACATCCCTTCTATGGGTGGGTACAGATATTTTTTGTTATTTGTTGATGATCATACTCGGTTTTCTTGGGCTTATCTTATGCGTTCACGAGATAAGGTTCCCACCCTGACCCAAAACTTCCACCAAATGATCCTAACCCAGTTTGATGCCAAGATCAAAGTTCTTAGATCTGATAATGCTAGGAATACTTTGCTAAGCCATTGGCCTCTTACCTTCTTAATCATGGGGTTATCCACCAGAGCACTTGCCCTCATACACCTCAGCAGAATGGGGTTGYAGAAAGRAAGAATAGGCACATCTTGGAGGTGGCTAGAAGTATTATGTTTACCTCTAATGTCCCTATTTGCTTTTGAAGTGATGCTATCCTCACGGTGGTATATCTTATTAATCAGGTTCCTTCTTGGGTTCTTGATATGAAATCTCCTTTTTCCCTTCTATACCCAAATGAAGAGTTGTTTTCTGTTCCCCTTAAAACATTTAATTGTACCTATTTTGTTCAGCTTCTCGGACCCCATCACTCCAAATTCGAACCAAAGGCCTCCAAATGCATCTTTCTTGGTTATGCACAAACTCAAAAGGGTTATTGCTATTGTGATCCTGTCTCAGGGAAGAAGTTTGTCTCCATGGATGTCACTTTCTTTGAGGAGACACCCTATTATTCTCAGGTTTCACCTCAAGGGGAGAGCAGTGAGAGTGGGGATTTGGGTCATTTTCTTTAGGGGGAGCGCAGTGAGGGTAGGGTTAATACTTTTGGGGCTGTTCCCTTACCTATTCCATTGGGTGATGAGGGCTGCAATAGTGAGGGTGGTCAGAGGGATCAGGAGTTGAGAGTCTATCACAGGCGATGCAGGCAGGTTGATCCCGGTCATCAGCAGTCCAGGCCAGCTCCAACCTCTTCTGCGGCTCCAAGTCCAGGTATTACAGTCCCAGGGCCCACAGAGACTCCTTTCATTGTTGCCACTTCACCCCCTGCAGACGACCTTGACCTTCCCATTGCCGTCCGTAAAGGGAAACGACATTGTACCACATCTACAACCCACTGCATTTCCCAGTTTTTATCCTATGATCGTCTATCTCCCTCCTACAGGTCCTATCTTACTTCCGTTGCCAATGTCCCTATTCCAAGAACAGTGCAAGAAGCCCTATTAGTCCCGGAGTGGAAAGATGCAATGCAAGTTGAAATGGATGTCCTGTTGAAAAACAATACCTGGGAGCTAGTTGATCTACCCAAAGGAAAGAAACCAGTTGGATGCAGATGRGTATTTACTGTGAAGCACAATGCGGATGGCTCCATTGAGAGGTACAAAACTCGGCTAGTTGCAAAAGGGTTCACYCAGACTTATGGTATAGATTACTTGGAGACCTTTGCCCCGGTAGCCAAGATGACCACCATTCGAGTTCTATTATCTCTTGCAGCAAGCCACACTTGGCCTTTGTACCAAATGGA